TACTGTGCAGATCAATGGCAGGGGTCACAGAGATAGCAAAATCAATGTCAGAGGTATCAAATTAACCATGATATTCAACTTCAGAGATGATATGACATCATCATATTTATACATCAAAGGAAGTAATAGAGCAGAAAAGACCTAAAAATATCTGGTAGTGGGGCGGCAAACTGACACGCACAGTAGGCAGGGACTCAAATGATACACTTTCTTACATTGCATTGTTCATCAGTTCAAAATAAAATGAATGTGAAAAATGTTTTAAAGGGAGCCAGAAGAAAGCAGAAGACAGCTGAGTGATCATGTTGAGGTGATCACACGGGTCGGAAAGAGTTCTGTTTATCGCTGTAGGGAAGAGGGAAGAGTGAGAGACTTTCATGTGACTTCTAGTAGATTCTGGAATTTTGGCTCAGTGCGCACAGTCTGAGGTCTTTCACTCATCTGCACAGAATTTATATATACAAACAGATTATTATGCACACTTGTCATTAAATGTACATTAATATGGTAAAAAAAAATACACCACATAGGAAAAAAACTAAACAAAAAGCAATGCAAAAAAAAAAAACCTAAGCAAAAAAAAAAAAATCTAAAACAAATTAAAAATTAAGCAAAACCAAGCCGAAAAAAACATGATCTAAGCAAAACCAAAACTATGCAAATAAAAAAAAATAAATAAAACCTAAGCTTAAAAAAAAAGCCAACACAAAAAGCAAAAAAAAAAAAAAAAAAAAAAAAAACTAAACAAAATAAAGCAAAACCAAACAAAAACTTAAGCAAAATAAAAAACTAGCAGAACAACAAAAGAAAAAAAAAAGAAATGTTCAGGTATAAAATAGATATTAAATACATATGAAATATATATATATATATATATATATAAATAATATATATATATGGTCACTAATGAAACAAGAAAATCTGTAATCAAACCATACTGTAATCATCCAGTTTTTACGCACACTTGTTGAGATCATACTCAAGTGCTGCTGTCATCAAGGTAAAGGGGACTTTTCTATAATTTGAACATGCACTGATATTGGCGTGACTGAAGAGAGGGAACTGATTTGAGAGTAATCAAAAACGACTGCTTCAATCAGACAGCTGTTTTGATTAGTGTACGTTTCTTAAGCACTTTCTTGCAAAGTTCTCAAAGAATAAACCCTGGATGTAGCATCAAGTCAGAGTGGTCCCGTGCTTGGGAGCCATCTATACTAGTGTATGTCAGAAATGGAAGAGACTGAGAAACCCACTGAAGTGGATAATTGGACATTGCGAGATAAAATAGAGTCTTCAGATAGTGAGAAAAAGAGACACACATGAGGTAAAGACAAGTATGATTTATCCAGCATGTGGCCATTGAAATCCATAAAACATCCAACAAACCCAGCCATCAAAGTATTCCAGCCGTCTCAGCTCCACTAATCGCAAAATTCCTTCTAAGTCAGTTATTAAAAATTGCCCGCCCAACACATGCCGTCCTACAGTGGGTGGGTGCTTACATAACATTTGACATACTGAATCGACAAGAAGAGTACAGGAACACCTCAGTTTTAAGATGAATTAAAACAAAATATACAACAAAATATATATCAATATAAAGACATTGAGCCTTCAGAGCTGCCTTAATTCTACGCGGCATTGATTCAACAAGGTGCTGAAAGCATTCTTTAGAAATGTTTGGCCCATATTAATAATTTGTGGGATGCACATCCACGGCACGAAGCTCCGGTTCCACCACATCCCAAAGATGCTCTATTTGGTTGAGATCTGGTGACTGTGGGGGCCATTTTAGTACAGTGAACTCATTGTCATGTTCAAGAAACCAATTTGAAATGATTCGAGATTTGTGACAAGGTGCATTATCCTGCTGGAAGTAGCCATCAGAGAATGGGTAAATGGTGGCCATGAAGGGATGGACATGGTCAGAAACAATTCACAGGTAGGCCGTGGCATTTAAACGATGCCCAATTGGCACTAAGGGGCCTAAAGTGGGCCAAAGAATACATCCCCCACACCATTACACCACCACCAGCAGCCTGCACAGTGGTAACAAGATGATGGATCCATTGTTGTCATTCTGTTTACGCCAATTCTGACTCTACCATCTGAATGTCTCAACAGAAATCGATCGGCAACATTTTTCCAGTCTTCAACTGTCCAATTTTTGTGAGCTCTTGCAAACTGTAGCCTCTTTTCCTATTTGTAGTGGAGATGAGTGGTACCCGGTGGGGTCTACTGTTGTAGCCCATCCGCCTCAAGGTTGTGCGTGTTGTGGCTTTCAAAAAACACTTTGCTGCATATACCTCGGTTGTAACGAGTGGTTATTTCAGTCAAAGTTGCTTTTCTGTCAGCTTGAATAAGTCGGCCCATTCTCCTCTGACCTCTAGCATCAACATTTTCGCCCACAGAACTGCTGCATACTGGATGTTTTTCCCTTTTCATACCATTCTTTGTAAATCCTAAAAATGGTTGTGTGTGAAATCCCAGTAACTGAGCAGATTAAATACTCAGACCGGCCGTCTGGCACCAACAACCATCCCCTTTCTTTCCTATTCTGACATTCAGTTTAGAGTTAAGGAGATTGTCTCCTTAACTCAATTAGTCTCCTTAATATATATTAAGGAGACCAATTGTCTCCTTAATATATATATATATATATATATATATATATATATATATAAATAAATAATACACATACATACATTTACTATTTTTTTATTTTATTTTTTAGGTACACAACCAGACAGCAACATTGTGTCTGCCCGAATCCGGCCCACATCTGTATGCGTGTAATGGTTCATCTGGATCTGGCCCGACACTATGTTGCTGTCTGGGTAGCATTTTGCAAAATAGGCAAGGCAAGGCACTAAACCATTTCATTTATAGACATAGATTTATAATATTGCCCATCATTTTGATTTGATTAATGAACTGAAAAATATATATGAAACGATTTGAGCTGAAAAATCGAACTTAGGCCGCACATACAGTATCAGGAAGTGTGCGATAAATTGCGTTATAAATACAGCCATAAACACTTTTAATATGATGGTTCGTTCTTTTGCATGAATAACTTTGGCATGATAAACTTCAGTGACTGATAGCCAGGAAGCAAATTCCTTCAAAAAAAAAAAAAGGGTGAAAAAAGCTTTTCTTTTTTTTTAAAAATCCACAATTTATTTACCACACGTGTTTCGTGTTTTGATTTGATCATGCTGTTTGAATGTTTTTGTGAGATAATTACAGTAAAGTCAGACCTTGCTGCTGAATTTCTAAATGAAGAAGTTTTACGTCCTTGGTTGATTTCTTCTGGCTGCCTGGAGCCGACCCGACATGAGTAGAGCACCTGACCTATTCCAGAATAATGCACTCTGTGATTCCTGCTTATGAAAAAAAGAAAAAAGCATTAAGACGGTGAAGAATGCTCTTGCTTTCTAAGCCAAATTAAGCCATCAGAAAATCTTCCCCACTCTTTCCTCTCTGTCATGCACACCTAATATACTTTCATCTCCTCACACTTTGACGTAGAAAATATGGAGGTGGGTTTACAATGTAACCTTTGACCTCTGAGCTTTCTGCTGTGGCCCATTAACAACAAAGTCTGTGAACCATGAGTAATGCATGCGGAGTTAGATGGATCAGCCGACTCACGTTGAACATCACTCGACTTTTCTCTGGCTGAATGTGAAAGCTATGAGGGGTGGAGTGCTCACACTCTACACATTAAGCCGTATGAGTTGCGCAGGTCATTATGCTGATTTTATCAGAGTCTCCGTCAGTGTTTCTGAGGAATTTGTCTTAAAATGTCTGGAAATCCCACACAAGAAAAGTAGACAGAATCTAAAGCGTGTTTAAACCTTAAACAATGACAAACTGTTTGCATATTTGGGGATTTCAAATATTAGATAAATACAATTTTAGAATTTGTATTTTGTATGATTTAATTATCTTAAATTATTATCCAGTATCACAACTGGAAACAAGTAACATGAGGGAGGGCTTGCATTTACAAATGACAAAATTTGGGGGTTGGGTTCAATATCAGAAAAAGATTAAACCGTTACTAATCTTTTTAATATTGGCCTGCGTATTGATTATAGGGCATAATATAAATCAAAATGTGAGGAATAAAAACACCAAATGCTAACATTTAAAAAAAAAAAATCTGTGCTTTTCAAATAATATATTGACAAATATTTTGACTGATAAATTGAGATTATATCATTATCAGTTAGGATGTTTTTTCCTCTGTTTTTAAAATGTATACATTTTTCCCCAATTCAAATGCGCAACACAAACAACCAAAAATGTTTTTTTTTTTTTTTTAAAAACTTACAAGAGAAATTTGGTTTAAATTTATTAACAGAAATTACCATTTATTTATAACACGGGAATGAGATTTCTCATAAACACATGGCACAATCCAATTATAACATTCCATAAGGAGAACAGTGCAACACATATAGGAGGAGAGAATACAGTGACCGACGAACTAAAAACAACCCCTGACCAGGCTTCCACTGATCAAATGAAAACACAAAGTGTCCTGCTCCAAGTTAAAAAGTTTCTTAAAGAAACACTGCCGTTTCCAATAAAGAGGCGAAGCTAAAATTCATAATACTAGCTATTTAACACAAAATTGATGTGAAGATCTTCACAGAGACACCTGTCAGGAGTCGTCTACCACAGTGCTAGGCTAAGCGGTCTGTCCTCTGTAAGAAAACGTGAGCACAACCAAAGAGATGTGTAGTTTCTCCGGTCTTCCTGGTTCTCTTCACAACAAAGATAATAAAAAAAAAAAAAAAAATCTCTCTATCTTGATTTTCACCAGCTTATAGTGCTTTAAAGCTAATTGCACATAATGATATACACATATTTCTTCTTCATTTAGTTGTATTTGTGTCTATGCACATATTAATAAGTGAGGTTAAAACAAACATCTTCGGTTCAGTTTTCATTTTAAACTTTTTTTTTTTCTTGTCAGCTTATTTTCAAGACCACACCATATGTTTGTGTTGTGTTTGTGTGTATGTGTGTTTGTGAGAGAGTTTAACCAGGGGTTAAGAGTTCAGTGTCCTGTCAGGTAATCCTGCGTGGAGTCGGAAGCAAACGAGTCCGCATCCTCATTGTCAGAGTCGTCACTGCTGTCATCAGCGGCGGGTCCCCGCTCAAAGCAATCCGTGCGTAGTCATCCGTGTCAATGGACTTGCAGAAGTGAATGGCGTATTTGAGTTTCTCCTCCAAGACTAGCTTACAGGAGTAGCGTGGCAGCTTGAGCAGGAAGAAGCAGGTGTAGGACTCAGGAAGGAAATGGTCAGGTGGGTTGTATTTATCCAGAACCTGGACAAATAGGGCGAAAATTGAGCAATTATATTTTATAATACGCACACACACACACACGCATGCATCCATATATATATATATATATATATCAGTGGCAAGCTGTGACTTTTTAACCGGGTATGCTGGGTGACGCATTATGTCAAAAATGCACCTGGTGCACGTTGGATGGGTTTATATTAAGCGCGTTTGTTCTAGACAGAGCTGCTCAGTTGCTTACTCTCATAGTTACACAGCTAAAAGTTTCCTAATATATTTGACCATTTATTATAAGTAGCCAACATTTACCTGATGCCTTCACAAGCACCCATAAAATCTGTTGAGTTGAGTCAGGTGTTGAGTTAAAATATCATTAGAAAAAATGTAAGTATAAAACATACTATATAATGCGTATAGTATAATATAATAAATCCTCTATATGCCAGCAAACCAAAGTGAACGCAGGACAGTGATGTCGATACATAACAGAGCGTAGGTGCCAAAGCTGTTGTGGATCCGCTTACCCGGAACTATCAGATTTGAAGAAAATTACGTTGTTTGGCAAATAAATAAAAGACAGATTTACACACTAACTACTAACATTTTATCATGTAAGCTTTATGGCACACCTCAAAAAAGTACATTTATAGTGTTAATATTAATCAGCGAGTCCATGAATGGCTTAGGTATGCAGAGAATTCAGAGCTTATATGGGCTGCATGCCACTGCGACATACACACATATACTGATATATCAAATGAATGGTATTTTTAAATAAATAAATAAATAAATACAATTCATTGACAGCAAAAATAATTAATTTGGGTTTGGATTGACATACGGGTGATTTTAATTTAAGGGGGAAACTATCCCTTTTAGTGGCACTTTTCAAAGACACAAGTTACCTGCACCACAAAGTCTCGTCCACGGAAGTCCGCAATGGTCCTCGGGAGGCGCGTGCGACCCCAAACGAACCTGAGGAAGAGCGAGCGTTCTGTATTAGAGAAAGACTCCATCACTTCCCAGAACCACTGAATCAGTGGAGAAGTGGGCTCCACCCCCTTATACGTGGCCACAGATTTGAGCAGGTGCAGGGGGATGTCCGGGCTACCACACACCTAGAACACACAAACACGTGACATGAAGTCCAACAAGAACTCCTGACGACATATTTGCTCAGTGTGCGTTTCTGTTAAGGACACACTCACCATGGTCTCCAGCTCATAGCCGGTAAAGAGAGAGAGGAGAGGCACCGGTACCACACGTGCCATACCTTCCCTTACTGCCGACACCTGCTCATCGTACTCATGCAGCCTGGAAGAACAAAACAACATTACCAGTAATACCAGTTCTTTCTTTCTTTCTTTCCTCGGAATGTGTTGGTAACACTTTTTTTCTTTAAAATTAGTCCACCTGTAGTTTATTGCTAGCCGTACATATTCGCTTCGGTTCTCTAAGGTGATGTGGGAATATTTGGAGCTGAGTTGGACTTCCTGTCCACATGCACTGGGCACAGTGAAGGGCAAGGGCATAGCCTCAAACTCCTCCGCAGATGCCTCATTATCTCGGATATACATCAGACCGGGGATGAAGTCCTTGTCCACCTAACACAAAAGGAATGTGAGGTTGGATTAAACATTAAGGAAAGCAAGCAATACTTTATTTCAATAAATATACTATATATACACACACTGCTCAAAAGATTATGGTAAGTAAAATATTTATATTTCAAAAACTGCTGTTCTTAAGAATCCAGATTTTTTTTTTTTAAGTATTACGATTTTCACAAAAATATTAAGCAACAACTGTTTTCAACATTGATAATAATATGAAATATTTCTTAAGCACCGAATCAGCATATGTTATGTTTTATTATGTGACACTCAAGAAGACTGGAGAAACAAACGCGTGTACATAACAACCGTTATGTACATTTGACAGGAACACACGCGCAACTTTCGCCCGTAAAGGTAATGGGCGTTAAGTATCCGGACAACGTGCACTACTCAGTTTAGCCAATCACAACACATTGGCCCAAACTAACCAATCTGAGCCTGCCTGTTTCTGAAGGAGTGGTTTCATAGACTCAGGAAGTCAACCGGTCTTTCAAATGACACAGAACGCGGCTTACAATAAAGGTGAAATTTATGAAAAATAAGACTTTTAAAAGAAGAAAAAACATGAAAACATGTTATATTGCACCCCATAAACATAATCATGCAAAGAAAAAAAAAACAGTTAAATACCATAGTAAAATAGAAAACTGTATTTTAAATTGTGATGTGATGTAAAAATTACTGTATCTATCAAAACAGTAATATTGTCAAATATGAAGATACTTATTTCAAAATCTTACAAACTCCAAACTTTTAATCTACAGTGATTTTAAATAAACGTTTGCCACTTTTCAGATTTAGGTACCAGCAAACCTTCAAGTTGTAGTTGGATGATCTGAGTGGTCTAGACATGGGTTTATTCAAGATTCCTTCGACAAAGATGATTAAAGATAATCTGAACCTGTGCAAATGACGATGGAAAAGGAATGAAAGGAATGTGTGGGTGTTATAGAGTGCTTCACAGTCAGTCTCAGCTGTTGTCTTGTGCTCGGTAATCTTTCTCTTTAACCTTTCTGATATCTCCAGGCAAAAGCTACAAACAACAGTTGCTCTGTGAGCAAGAGATATCCTGTGCTGAGAAACGGCATCACAGCAGACGTATCAGCAACACATGATCTCAATGTGAATACAGGAGATGCATACACTCACATTCATTTTTACACATCACACGTGCATGTGCGCACACTCACACACAATATATCTCAGAGATTGTAAAAAAGTTATATTTGTATAACTGCTTAACATTCCTGTAAGTTGACTGCTGAAAAATACAGTATTACTGTAGCAGAAACATGCCACAGATTTAGAGAAAGCTGCTTACAGCATATGTGCATTAGGTGGTAGGTTTATGACGAGCATCTATGTCAGCTGACCACCATCAAAACATATGTACAGAAAGCACAAGAGGTATGTGCTCTCATTCCATTCATTTGTATAATGGATTCAATAGGCCTTGCCATAAGCTCCAACTACAGACATACCATGCCACGTAATCCTGAAAAGCTAATTGGAAGAAGAGAGAGAGAAGAAAAGTAGCACCACCAACCCAAAAATTAAATAAATCGCATTAATGTCATAGTTAACTTGCAATTAATTGCACAGTTAAAGGTATTTTATGTAGGAATTTTATAAAAAAAACCTTTTTTCCAAATTTGTTTAAACTTTCTGTATATATCAATGCATAATTAAAATGTAAGTACTCTGAAAAAGAAAGTATAAAAATCGAGTGTCTGTAGACCTCTCACGACTTCTATTTACTTCACCCACTCCCTTCTGGGCTCCTTCCAAAGCCACTCCCCAAAACACATGAACGCACGACTCCGACAGCTGAGCCGAAGACGCATTATTTACCTGAGACGCGCGGAGAGGAAGGAGCGCAGTGCAGGTAGTGACATCATGTCAGAATCACATGTAATAAAAAAAATCTAACTTTATCATTATGAAGATAAACAAATAAGATGTATTTTAGTACTCACTATCAAGCTATTGGTAAAGTTTAAAATATATATTTATTGATTCGCTAACGAGCTAGTTATCTATAAGGCAAAGCTAAAAACAGGTTGCATGATACACGTTTTTCCATTGCCATCATTTACACTATTATGAAGACGAATTCCATGTAAGATTCATAACATATAATCACTTTGGTCTTGTCAATGGAACCATTTGACAACTTTTTAAAAGTAAACTTTCCATTCAGAATCTTATTGGCATCCATTTCGGCGTCTCGCGCTCGTCACCCACTCAAAACTTTACATTAACATACTATTTGGCTGGCTCGCAAGCCCAAACAAGTGTGGGTGGCGGCATGCCTGTTATTTTGTTTCCGGCCTAGCTAGATCCGCTTACGCTTTGGTCGACGAAGCAACAAAACGCCCTCACGCGGCGCAAATGAAAATGGGTGTGCAGCATGCAGTGCATACCATGTCCTATTGCATGTGGAAAAAAAATACAAACTTTGTTAGGCCAAAAAGACTGTTAATTGCGCTGTAAAAAAAAAATGTACGCACACACACACACTAGTTGGCTCTCCTTCAAAAAGCTGGTGGGCATTCTGGCACAATATGGCTGCCATCGCATCATCCAGGTGGATGCTGCACATTGGTGGTGGTTAAGGAGATTCCCCTTCTATGTAAAGCACATTGAGTGCCTAGAAAAGTGTTATATAAATGTGTGAATTATTATAATTATTACCTCACTGAGATCAGCAATGGTCAGGTTCATGCCTGCCAGCTGTTTCCACACAGGTTCAGCCAGGTACAGACTTAGAGGACTTCCTGTACGGATTGCTATGCCTAGAAGCACCCCTGTACACAAATAAAAACAGACATTGGTATACCAACAGATCTAATGAAGGGACAACATATAGCTATGAAATTAGACTTTTCCCATAAAGCCTTTTAGTTTAGGAAACACAAGCAAGTGGTACCTAGGAAGCGGAACATGCTGATGTGCAGAGGGGACTTGGCAGCTGGGTTGAGCAGAAAACAATCTCTGTTCGCTCCCGACTCGTCTCGCCCATTAGGAGTGACGATGAGGAGAGGAGTGAGACCGTTCTGTAATTCCTCACACATTTCAGCAATAGATTCACTGTATCCACCACCACAGTCATCGACCGACTCGCCTACAAACACACACAAGGTGAGAAACACAGTGTAGACGGGCCATGATCTAAGGGGTCTGTTCCTCACCAATTCCCCTTTTTCATGTAGAATCATCCCTTTGCTAAATACCAACTCACCCACAAACTTGACCTTCCAGACACGGTGTGGCAGCAACAGACTGTCAGGGCTGAAAGAGCTCATCTTAGCACACATTTGCCCAAACACTGACTTGGTGCCATCTGGCCCTGCCAGTCCTCCTTTACTGCGGGAACGCTTGACCTGATAGAAAGAATGAAAAAGGATTCATTATTACAGACTTCTCTGCTCTGAAGTGCTGTATAAACACCACTCTTAAGTTTTCCAGCAGATCCCTGCCAGGGGCCCTATTAGAGGGACACTAGACCCATGAAGATTCATATTTGGGGGTAAATCTCATGACGAGCAGGTCCAAAAATAATCACAAATTCATATGATTTTTAATGAACATCTCGAAATATTAAGATTTAGGACGGCTAAAAATAAAATGAATGATAATAATCAAACGGTGTACACAGCACTTGTGTGTCCATGCCGACAGGAAGACGCAGAAAATGCAACGGTAATTACGGTGATTAGGGAAAGGGAGACAATTTTACAGAGGACCCGCTAGCTATTTTTACCCATTCAAAGTAATTGTTCATTTTGGATTCTGCTTACCATCCTAATTAACTCTCAAACCGAGTGGGAAACGCAGGTAAAAATTAGCTTTGGTGAGGAAATAACATGCATTTTTGGCCCAGGTTTTTCAAAATCAAAACATAAAAATTTAAATTTGCAACAAAGAATGATTGTCTGATACTTGACAAATACAAATACAATTCTTATAATGTTGAAACATAATAACAACAATTCATTTAATGACATGAGCACCTGTTTATTGAAAATACGCAACACATTTTAAATGTGTAAATACATAAATTGAATGAATAAATTTATTCAGTTAAGACAGTGAAATTTACTGTATTTGAGGCCAAATTAGGATAGTTGAATGCAAATCTAAGACCAAGTGAGCAGTTTTTAATGCATGTGTGTACCTGTATCCTGTTCAGCTCCACCACTGGGCCATGCTGTCGGTCCCTAACCATGGTGGCCTGCACCACCTTACGGAATGCTGCCTCCTATAGACATTGGACATTTAAATAAATAAATAAATAAATATACTTAGGAAATTGTAATTCAAATAAAAATACTACTCCTTGAAAATATCCTCACCTTGCCCTGTGATATGAGGATTCCACGGAGTGTGTCAAAGCCAACGGAGACACCGTGTCCAGTCTCGCCCAGTCGTCCTTCCAGGTCAAACATTGGGATGCAGGGGCAGAAGAGCTCTGAGATGTGATGAAGTAGCAATAATCGGTTCCTCAGGCCTATAATGGCAATCTCCTGCAAGTGATTGTACTCCATAGGAACCTACAAACAAGCATTTAATTATTTACATGCAGCATTTATCACATTTAAAAGGCTGAATGGTTAAATTTAGTTCTTTGACTTTGTTTTTTTGTTGTAGTCTGAGCTAGATTTGGTGGCACGGTACCTGAGCAGGCAGTTTTCCAGCATTGGTAGGCTTACTAGTGGACCAGGCAAGCGTGTGTGCTGAGCCACAAGCCACGCGGTTGATCTTCTTGCCCTGCAGTGCTACCACCAGCCTAGGCCGCTGAATAGCATTGGTGGTCCCATCGCCGAGCTGACCCTCATCATTGTCACCCCATGTGTACACTTCCCCTGTGTGTTTACATTCATGTTTTTAGCATATACTTAACAAAATACAAATGACTAAGTATACAGACAGTGCCAAACAAAAGAAAATACTAAATATCTATATATAGAGTATCTGTAGGTTTTTTTTAAACAATGCAAGGCTTTTTAAGACCTGAACAAATAACAATAACAAAATATAGCTGCGAGCAGCGATGAAGGGCCCAAGCCGGTGGCACCGCAACCCCGGTTCCTTAGTTACCTAAAAGCACCAGGGTGGCCATGCCACTGGCTTTGGCCCTTCATCGCGGATCACAGCTATATATATATATATATATATATATATATATATATATATATACTGTATATATACATATATATATGAAGCCGGTGGCACCGCCACCCTGGTGCCTTTAGGTTTATTGTGCACGACATGCAAAATGTAACCCTGCTTTGACTGATGCAAGCTCTACAGCACAGTTTATAGTAAGAAAGAATATAGTAAGAAAGAAAAGTAAGCTGTTACTCTGAGATGGTTTGGGAAACAAACATTCATCATGTCGCATTGGTTTTAGTTACTTGTCCTCGAACAGAGCCCTAATCTGTTTATATTTCAGTTACACATTCTACATTGATTAAAAAAGAAAAATCAAATGTGTTTTTAATTCATACAGAAATAAAATATTTATAATTCAGCTGAGAATAAAGTTAGTTCAAATTTTAAGAAAAACAAATATATGATCTGAAATATAGCACATTCATTTTTAAATTCATTCAGGTTCAATTACCAAAAATACAATCTTAATTTAATTTAAAGCAAATAATAAATCTAAAATATATGGGTTATATGCATATTTTGTAAAAAAAAGAAAAAAAAAAGAAAGAAAGATATATATCCAAAAACACAAGGCCTTAAACTTTAACAAGGGTGCAACTCTTATCACTACAACAAACATAGTCACACACACAAGTCAAGTCACTTACATTTTAGATGCAATATTGACTTTTTAGATGCAATATTGACTTTTTTCTGTTTCAGCAGAGAAAATAGTTAAACAAAGATCACAGCGACCCATCGCGCATCTCAAAGCAATGTGTTTTCTCATTACTGAATGATTCAGCATTTTGAATCCATGACTCGTTCATTAAGACGGTCATCTGGCGACACCTTATGGTGATTTAGGGTTATGTTTAAAAGTATCGTTCTTTACAGCGATTTTTAATTGACTCCTGTTAAACCAATCTCGTAACATTATTGTGTAACCGATTTAATTTGATCAGCCTTACCTAGGGTAAAAGCCCTATAGTGTCTTATTATTCTAAATTATTGAATTTATTGATCAAATTTACTAATGAAAAATGAAGCATACATTTATTAAGACTAGGCTGCCCTGCAGATATTAGGCTACAATATGCAGATTTAAATATACCATTTATCAAATAATCTGTTTATTTTTAGGTTACACATTACATTGTTTAAAAAATAAAAATCAAATGTGACCCGCTCTGGCGAAATGAGTCGGAAGTTGCAACCTTCCATTTTAAGATATGGGCCGATTATGTGGAAAAACCATGAAATAACAAAAAAAAATATATATATATATATATTTTTTTGCTAATTTCAAAGAACAGACATTCAAAAATAATCTCACAGGGTTTCGTAGTCGAGATAATTGAGTAAAGGTATTTAAATAACGATTAAAGTTGTCAAAGCTTTAAATTCGCTGAAATAAACATTGCTCTTCTCAACTCCCCTCGTCACCTCTGAGCATTTCCCGGGTATCCCCTGAAACGTTGAACTCACTGGAGGCTTCTAACCTAAACTGCGTGAGTATATTTATCTGCAAGAAGAATATAGCCTATGTAAGGCTGTAACGATCGCGACACTCAGATCCACGAACCTGTGTCGCGGTGTGAGAAGACAGAATCACGACACCGACACGTCCCTTCAACTCCCGAAGTTATCCTTCACGTCCAGACCCAATGCTAGCTACAACATCTTTAAATTACTATTAGTATTATTTGAAGTTAACATTATAAAATACGTAGACTTACACCACAAAACTTAAATTATTACTAAATTTTTTTAAATTGGGCAATTTCAGCATTATGGAGGAGATCCAATTCCCAGATAATTAAATATTTTAATAAATTGGCCTATGTGAACCACACTGCACAAACCAAAAGTAATACTCACCGGATGAAGAAGGGTTGACTCTCTCCAGAACATAAAATCTTTATTTTATTTTCCGTGTTCGCATTGAGGAAAAACAATCCGAACGTGACCGTTCTCTGGAAGCAGCACTAAAACTTTCACATAGCTTAAACATGCAAGCACAAAGCCTTTCTTTAAAGTAAATTTCGTTTTAAAATAATTATCTTAATTTAAATCAATGTTTCATCAACCAATTACTAGGATTTAATAATAAGAAATAAATTGCAGACAATAGGCTAGGCCTAATCACGACGCGGAGACGCGCGGCACGTGAACTGAAGCTTGTCTCATGAACCGAAAGTCAGCGTATAAGGTATCCTCACAGACATATATATTGAAATGTCTACTTTTAAACACAACCATTCAAAATGAAAGAAAACAGACTGCTCTCTGCTTATGTGGGCTAATCCGTATGAAAACTGAATTTCTCTCTGACTCCTCTTTAATCTTTCTGATTTTAGAACATTTTTGTAAAAGTGACTTTTTAATTATTTATTTCAAAAAAATTAAAAATAAGTTGAGTTTCAGCCTCGTTAAATTGCATTTATATATGTTAATCTATTTGGTCAAATTAAGCTATATAAAATAAATAGTTTATCCCTTAAAATGCTATGGATTTTGAAAGATATCAAAAAAAAAAAAAAAAAAAAAACGGGCAAAAAAACTTTAAAAGCGATTTTCTTAGGTTTTCAATTGGAAAAAAAGGGCAGACGACCAGAATTCAAATCTGTATATCTTTACAACCATTCAAGGTATGACCAAGGTATCATTTGAAAGCTTACAGTGTCCTCTTTCCATTAATATCAAAATCTCAATTTTTAAATTTGGGTCACTGTGACTAATTTTGCTGGATCAGGTCGGTCACAAATTTGTTTTTTATTGTAGTATTATTTTATACAGATAATACATTATAATTATATATAATATACAAAATATAACCGTGGGCGCGATTAAACAGTGTTACAATAAAACTCAACATTGTGTTTTTTAAAAATAAATTCAAATAATACAAATCCCGAAATTGCGCTAATTTTAAAATTAAACTAAAACTCATGGCTGCACAAGCATTCATAACTGTGCGCGCCAACAGCGAGGAACCAGCAGAACAGAGTGAACGTTCATTCTGTTTAGTTCAATCCTACTTAATAGGAATTTATTTAAAATGCTTGCTCTACTCCACAACATTAATGTCTTGTGCGGATATCTGTATTTTGACTTTCGGTTTTAAGTAAGCGATTTAAAAGTTCCCGAGTCCCAGCGGAGTCACACGTTGATTAACCGGTGGGAATATACACAATAGGCCTAACTGATATTGAACACAAGAGGGCAGTATAGCACTACGTATGACTCAGATTATTTTTTCTTCTTCTGAATTTTAAAACCATTCTGGCTGTTTTTGAACGTAAACATAATTCTTAAATGAAAAAAGGGGAAAAACTGGTTTAATTATAATATTTGTATAATTTAATTTAGAAACAAATGATGTATAATTACATTTTTAGAAGATATGAGGCTTTTAGTGTTTACTGTTTACTTTTTTGACATTACTTTAATCTTTTGCCAAAGTTGCACATGCCTACTGGCTAATAAATGTGATGTATCTGTCGAGCTATCTGTATCTATCTGTTTCAAGCAATTTCAAGCATAAGTCCCAAAAGTATCAAAAAAGAATGTTAAAGTTTGATTTGTTGCCACAGCAACAGTATCAAAGATATCAAGAATCCATTCACAGGTCTACATCTGCTGTATTTTTACATTATACAGATGAAGTTTGAAGCAAATCGGGTAAAAATAAAAGGGTGATATCAAAGCATTTTGAAAGTGACACACTTCCTGCTGCCAGTTGGTGGCGCTATAACTTTGACTCACAATAGTCACATCCATGTGATCGTCCTCTTACAGCGAACACACTGCTGAAGTTTCATCAAGATCAGTTAATGTATGCTGAAGTTATAACACACTTCCTGTTTCACGTTTCTCGCCATAATTTTGTTTCCTCGCCACGGCCAAACCGTTCGAGATATCAAAAATCCCCTCGCAAACTTTCATCCTCAATGCCTTGACTTCATGCTGACCGAGTTTCGTGCCGTGTGTTTGAATTCTCTAGGAGGAGTATTGCACATTCCATTGCGAGCGTTTTACAAACAAACCTCAATAGCCGACTTCCTGTTTGGCTGGGGTAAAAAGTAAGAGCGTGAGGTATAGATGAAACGATGAGATCAACATGTGTACCGAGTTTCATATTATTACATGCAAGCGTGTTTGATTTATGGACCAAGTGTTCGGACCCCGTTCCAGGGGGCGCTGTCTAGCCCCCCTGCCACACCCAGGTACCATCTTCAGCCCGGCTCTGATGGCTGTGGGATCTGACCTGTGTGCAAAGTTTCAAGAGTTTTCAAACCCGTTAAGGGCCCCAAAAGCCGCTAAGAGTCTCAAAATCATAAAAAAAAAGAATTTTAAAGTTTGATGCGTTGCCACGGCAACAGTATCAAAGATATCAAGAATCCATTCACAGGTCTTCATCTGCTATGTATTTACATTATACAGATTAAGTTTGAAGCACATCGGGTAAAAATAAAAGGGTGAGTTCAAAGCATTTTGAAAGTGACACACTTCCTGCTACCAGTTGGTGGCGCTATAACTTTGACTCACAATAGTCACATCCATGTGATCGTCCTCTTACAGCGAACACACTGCTGAAGTTTCATCAAGATCAGTTAATGTATGCTGAAGTTATAACACACTTCCTGTTTCACGTTTCTCGCCATAATTTCGTTTCCTCGCCACGGCCAAACCGTTCGAGATATCAAAAATCCCCTCGCAAACTTTCATCG